GTGACATAATGGTTGGTAGGGTGTGGGTGGGGCGATATGTGGGATGGTCCAAACAAAGACGATTGTTCCAATTCTATTGAGAGATTTCATTCTAATTCCTACCAACCAAATGCATGGTCAAATTCCATCAAATTCCATTCCAATTCCTTCAAAGTCAAATTCCTTTGATGGATTCCAATTCCATCAAATTCCATTATGTGAACCAAACACCTCATTATTGTATACACGTTGATTCCACTGTGATATCCATTGTTTACAATGTATTCATAAAAAACCAAATGTTAATTTTGATAATTCAAAATAGGAATATGAAAAAAAATATTAAATAATATAATTAAATATTAAATTACTAATTTACTCTTTTATTTTATTTTAATAAATAACATTAATTATCTTAAATAATTGGTCCAGATTAAATCTCACAATTATCATAAACTAACGAATTATCATTTAATTAAACCTTATATCAGACGTTGATACGTCACGTTAGGTAGGTATGTAAGATGGCACGTTAGGAAAAGAAAAGAACAAGAAGATATAAGATAAGCAGATGCCCTTTTCACGTTGTATGCATATCATGTGAATTGACCTTATTGCCCATGAGCCCATGACTCATGAACCCACCGCCTCTGTACTTATTTGTCTCATTCAAAACGTACGGCTTCACAGCTCATATCCATGTGCTCATCCTTACCTTTTTATCATTTATTTATTTCTTAATAATATAAATTATTTTATTTATTTAATTATTAATTATATAAATTATTTTATTTAAAACTGTCAGTAGAAATTAATCAAATACTTTAAAAAAATTACTTGAAACCGTGTAATTTGATTAAGATACAACAGACAACTTTAATGAGCTTTTGATCCAGCTTAAAGGTGTAACTGCTTAGAAAAGAATTATGGGTTCACCATTTCGAGTCTTTTTGTTTTCTTGATTGATCTAAAAACTAATATGAAAATGTCGAGAAATGATCAGATAAAAATAAACGAATGCCAATTTCATGCGGTTTTTTAGTTTTAGCGTATATTGTTAAACAACGGTATGTTGGTATCCATCATTTACAGATCTTAAATAGAAAATCTTGCCTTTTTAATAATACGAAACTCGTACGTCTAAGTATTATAAAGATAGAAAACAACATTACCCGAAATTTACATAATATTCTAAAACCGTCTCCGTAACCGCCTTGATCCCCGTCGGGGATCTTATCGAGGATCCCGATCCCCGTTTGCGAACCCATTAATGGTAAAAATCTTTCTTTTCCCGTTGGTTATACCCAAAATGATCTGGAATAAATTACAATATGTTAGTTTTTTTCACAACTAAAAGTAAATTACAATTTTTTTTAAAGATGTAAATCTAAATGTCTCAAATATAATCAAACCAATTACAAATAAAATCTTAGATTGCAATACAAATTAAAGTAAACAGAAATTCAAGCATCATACAACTAACATCATGATTTCACGATTATACATACAAACAAGACTTTTTCGTAAGCCTTATTTGGGATGTTGAGTTAAAGTAGATAAAAGTCTTTTAAATTTTAATGATATTATATATATATATATTAAAATTAATATATACACATATGGGGCTGGGCCGGACTCGTGATCACCGCCCCCGATAAGGTTCGAGCCGAAAATTTCGGTCTAGCCTACTCTCAACCACTTCAGGACAATAAATGTCCGTCTAGTCTTCATTGAAAGAGGCGTATCAAAGTTCCACATTGACTAGATTTGTACCATTTCTCATCCACATATGTTGGAAGTTGCATTCATTTAATTTCACACTTTTAAATAAAAGTAATATATTTAAAATATTTTAAAACGATTATAATATTTTCTAAAAGTGTTATATTATTGTTTCTGATCTGTTACCTGTCATCAAAAAGATATCGAGATATATTTCTATTCAGGTACAACGAGTGTTATCACGTCAATACCTGAAAATAGAATATGATCACGTAATTGAACAAAAAAGATTTGAAATACAAATAAAGACCGAACCAACAAAGGGAAAAAAACCAGTTACTTTTTCGACTGATATTTAATTTCACCATCGATTTAGAAGTTCAAAAAGTCATAACACGAGCAAATGATCAGATAAAAAGGAAAATATTATTGTCGTAGTTTTTCTTTTTGATCCGACAAAACCTATGATTCTCATTTTTTACTAAAAAGGTTTAAATTCGTCAAAAAAATGTGAGATTTAACAGAGATGAAGTGAAAAATCTTCAAAGACTAGATGATACTCGTGTTTCACGTACGTTTATCGTGTTTTCGTTGTTTTAATAGATGTCCTTTTCACCTGCAATCCAAATTAATGTTTAGAGCAAATTACGCTTTTGTCCTTCTTTTTTGTTCTTGTGGTTTATTGATTTTTTTCGTCCCACATACTTAAAATCGGGTTTTTATCTCATGAATGAAAATAGTAATGAATTACGAACCATAAATACTAAAAATCGAAAATTTGAAACGCTAGAGACAAAAATCATATTTTTAACAAACTACAGGGATTAAAAATGTAATTTACCCGAACATTTATTATTATTTACAGTAAACTACAAATCTGGTGGCTGTGGTTTGTCCGGAAAAAACACTTCTGTCATTTTCTCTGTAGTTTTGAAATTACAAGATAACTATTGTAGTTTATAAAAATGTTCAGATTTGGTCTCTCCCACTAACGACCATCAAAATATTATGTCAGAAGAGAAGTGATTTCAGTCGTATTATTGATTTTTTTTTGTCTTTTATCCAGTACTGATTTACGTGTTGGTTTGAATGGAATTTTTTAACAGTCATTAGAGGAATGAACCAAATACATACGTTTTTACAAACTACAGCGACCATCTTGTAAATTAAAACATAAAAGGGCAAACAATGTTATTTTCAACAAACCACAGGGACTGAACTTGTAGTTTTATAATCTCTATATATATGCTTTCATCCCCTTTATCAATTTTCAAACTCATCTTCCCAATTTTGGCTCTTAATCTTTCTTCCGAATCTCGCCGTCCGCCGCTACAAAACTTTCCGATCAGTCTGTGTATGGCAGCTCGTTTATTGGCACATGAGGTAGCAGACCTCTGCCTCGGCAAACAGCCGTTGAAATCACTCTCCATTTCCGCCACCGTCCGCCAGGCCCTAATCATACTCAAATCCACCGACGACACCCACATCAGTATTTGGAACTGCGACCACCACCATTCCATCTCCGACCAAACTTTCATCGACGACTGCCGCTGCGTCGGAAAAATCTGTATGGTCGACGTCATCTGCTACCTCTGTAAGGAAGACAACATCAAATCACCGTCATCGGCGCTCGATTCTCCGGTCTCCGTTCTGATATCCGGTGTTCCTGCAGTTGTTCGTCACGTCGAGCCTGCCGCAAGGTTTGTTAATCATCAATGAACTTCATCAATGAACTTCAAATTGTCGCATTCTTTGATATTTTCCCATTTCTTTGTTTGGTTTTGCAGTTTGGTGGAAGCCATTGATCTAATCATTAATGGTGCTCAGAATCTTGTGGTACCCATAAAGAGCAGAACGACGATCAACGCAAAAAGGAAGCAACTTCAACGGGAACTATCAATTGCTCCGACGACCCACGCCGGCGGCTATGAATTCTGTTGGCTGACTCAAGAAGACGTCATCAGATTCCTACTGAGTTCAATTGCTCTTTTCTCCCCAACTGCTGCCTACTCCGTCGAGTCGCTCGGAATCATCAGCTCCGATATCCTCACCGTCAACTACCACTCGCCGGCGTCAACTGCATTGGGAGCTATTAAAACCTCTCTTGCTGACCAAACATCTGTCGCCGTCGTTGACGACGACGGAATCTTGATCGGCGAGATCTCTCCTTTCACTCTAGCCTACTCCGACGAGACAGCGGCGGCTGCAATCGCGACGCTGTCCGCGGGCGATCTGATGGCATACATCGATTGCGGCGGACCACCGGAAGATATAATCCGCGTGGTGGAAGCGAGGCTAAAAGAGCGGAATTTGAAAGGAATGCTGGAAGAATTTTCGGCTTACTCTTCCGGCATTCCGTTGATTAACGGTAATTCATCTTTTTCATCCGATGAAGAGTCTCCGCCGTCTCCGGCTACGATGAAGTCCGGGAGGTTTAATAGGTCAAGCAGCTATTCAGCAAGGATAACGAGGAGGGCGGAGGCGATCGTATGCTATCCCGGGAGCTCGTTGGTGGCGGTGATGATTCAGGCGATCGCACACCGGGTAAGTTACGTTTGGGTGATTGAAGAGGACTGTAGTGTTGTCGGAATTGTGAGGTTTTCCGGCATGTTGGAAGTTTTCCGGTCACATTTAGAAAGTATGATGAATTAGATGGAGAAGAGGGACTATTGTTTAAAAATATGAAAGTATGAGGGTAAGATTTGTATATATGAGATATTTATGGGCTTTTCGTGTCAAATGATGAGTCTGAACGATATTCTTTTTGTTTATTCGCATCAGTTGTTTTGTATCAAACTATCAACTATTTATCAATTATATGATATTATGTGTTTTTTTCTATTTTATTTTAACAGATTCAAAAATGAAAACATTATTGCTTTTTTAAGATCATATAAAATTGTATTATATTGATAAAGATAAAAAATAAAACAAAATATTAAAATCGAAAGGTATCTCACTGCATTGTTCAAATATTCTTTTAATATATAAAAATGCATTCAGATTTGGTTATACTTTTTTAATGGAGACTTAAATTTTCTTCTAAATAAAAAATAAAATAAAAATTTATGCGGAGAAAGGGTTACAAAAGACCACCAAAACCTTTTAATAAATGCACATCATATTCATCTCCTCTATTTACTAAATATTATTATATCTGTAATATTGTGGATCTGATTAAAAGATCGAAAAAAGATTATCAGATTCAAACACATGTATGCAACTGTGACGGCCAGGAATGAACCCAATTTTTTTTCAAACGGTGACACCATTTGATTATAAGAAACAAATATCGGGATATTTGTTACAACATCATAATTGGTATGTTGGTTAGTTCATTGTTCTTCATATGTGAGGTCTTGTATTCAAGTATTTTATTGTAAATTCTTTTCATAAACATAATAAATTTGAAATTAAAAGCTAAGAACTAAGAAAATGATACTAACGATTTCGAACTCAAGTCTAAAGTAAAAGAAAACCTTGCAAACCAACTCGACTAAGGAAAACTTGTATCCTTATTATAGTTTCAAAATATATATGGTGGCACACAACAAATCGATACAGTTGCATCTTTCACAGACCTAAAATTTTTCACTACGACGGAGGAATGAAACGATGGCATGTGCCACCATAACCACTATACTAGGTCCGTCTATGGTGACAGTCAGGTCTGCAAATTGCAACTGTACCACTTACTAACTTGATGGAATTTGAATTTGATATTGCAAACGAAATGACATTTGGTAAAAAAAAATAAGTAAAATTTATTTTTAAATCGATTCTCACACGATTTATAATTTTTTTGTAGTTTCTTATTTGATTTAACCTCTTTCTCTCTTTATATATATATATATATATAGGCGTAGTATATAGCATGTGGGAGTGTTGAATGTTCACATGGACGTATTTAATCAAACGAAAAATAGAAGTTATGGTGGTTAATTATAATTTATCTATATATATATATATATATATATATATATATATATATATATATGGAAAGGTTCAAACGAGAACATATTCATTTTACGAGAACATGAGAACACTATTTTATTATAGACAATCACATGTGATATTATTATTTCATCACATATGATACACATGTGATACTAAATCAGAGACACGGACGATTTTCGATGCGATCTTGGTTGCAGGCCAAGTCGCCCTTAGACCACTAAGTCCCCTCACAATTATTATCAAATGTGATAAGGGTGTTGTTTATATGATACTATAATCCATCAAGACCATCACATGATGCTAAATCATAGACGCAAACAACCTTTGACGCGACCTAAGTCGTAGAACACGTCGTCCGCACATCACATGGTCTCCTCACGCATATTGTCACATGTGATAAGAGTGTTCTTGCGTTCTCATAAAATGGAGGTGTTCTCGTTTGAACATCCACCTATATATATGTATGTATGTGTGTGTGTGTGTGTGTATATATATATATATATATTTGTTTTCAAGACCTGGATCATGTGAGACAAGACTGTTTTCGTGAAATACGTGAGACACGATTTTTACGCTTAAAAATTCACAGCAAAACATTGTGAAGGTAACATTCACAATGTTTTTGCTGTGAAGATTTGATTTTTTTTACCTTCATAACATTTTTGTCGTGAAGTTTCAAGTGTAAAAATCGTATATCATGAAAATAATATTGTCTTCATGTGAACCCAATCATGTTTTTCAATATGAATCTTTTGTAACTCGTTTGTGAAATAAAAGTTACACGTAAAAAAATTCATATTATGAACTGAAAACATATTAAACAAACACATTATAAAACAAATATGTTGTCATCAATATATTAAACGATAGCCTTATATAAAACAATACCATAAAGTAAAAGTTTTTACGGTTTCATGTGAGACCCAATGTTTTTCATTAGACTCGCAAGACCAATTCTTAACCCTTGAATTAGATCTACAATCTGAATATTCATAATCACAAAATTACCACGAGACTTCTCAATAATCACAAAAATACCACCGTACAACTTTAGATCATTAGCTTATCAAGTTGATCAATGAACATAAATTAATCTTAAACGTCTCACGAAAAATCTTTAATCTCATGTGAACTCAACCCTATATATGTATATAACATGACATAAAGTTCTGATGACACATGCATTAACGAACTAAACGACAAAACATCAAAGACAAAGATCGCAAATCAACAGTTTATTTATTTATTTTTATTAAAGAGGACAAGTGAACATCAATAATGTTTATTTATTTTATTATTATTATTATTATAATAAAATACCTTTTCTTATTTTATATTTAATATCACAATTTTCCATCATATTAAGTTTTTATAATATTTGTATGGAATTAATTATATGTATAGGGTTAGCTTCCGATAAAAATTAAAATTATAATTTGTGTTCATAATCGTCATAAGTGTTTATATATGTTCATAATTGCCATAAGTGTTTATATATGTCAATTTGTGTTCATATAAATGTATACATGTCAATTTATGTTCATAATTACCAAGACACTCGCTTTGATTACATACTTCACTTCCCGATCTCAAACTCCGATTGTTACCATAAATAATTTTAATCTTCTCAATGTTGTTGTGTTGTTTCCCAATGTCTTTATTCATAATTGCTTGAACGATAACAAACACTTTACTAGCGGATCTCTTCCACCAATCACAAATTTATAAATATTAAAAATGAAAAATCAATATTAAAAAAATGAAAAAGTCACAAGATTAATATTAAAAATACAAAAATCATGGGATTTTATGGATCGTGTAATGCCTAATTAATGATATAATAGTTACAGAAAAACAAAATTATCCATATACCCTTAACGTTAAAGTTAGTGAATAACCTAAAACTAAGATAGATTGTGATTGGTCTAAAAAGTTTATAAAATTAACACAATAATTTGGGTTAACATTTGAAGTTCTCTCTCTCTCTCTCTCTCTCTCTCTCTCTCTATATATATATATATATATATATACATAGTAGAAGGGTACTCGCGCAATGCAACGAGATACATCTTGATTTTAATATTTCATTTTATTTTTTATCTCAGTCGATGTTATAATATGGTCTTATGTGATTTTGAAAAAGCGATGATGTTTTTATTTTTAATAAAATATAAATATTAAGATATCATAAAAATTTGACAAAAATATATCGACATTAGTATCAAATTAACTATTTAAAATTTCTCATTTTTTGTATGATTTTTAATTCAACTTTTTTATTATAATTTAATTTATATCCTATAACGAAATAATTTATATTTGGTTTAATAATATAATTTTCTTATAAMGATAATAATTAATTATTTTGTTAGAACTCGATAATTATCCTAATTATATTTTAGATTTTTTATATTTTAAAATGAGATGTTTATCTTCTATTTGATTATGTTTATCCGCAGTTAGTTACACGAATTCAAACATGCAGCTTTAATAAGTGTATTTGTGAACAATTACTTGTAATCTTGAAACTTTAAGTAATATGCATCAATGTACAGTACTTCATGCATAAAAAATAACTTTTAAGAGTTGTTGTCAAATTCTTTATAATGTAGTATAGATTTAGGTTTAATAACGAAATAATTTATATTCGATTTAATAATATAATCTTCTTATAAAGATACTAATTAATTATTTTGTTTGAACTCGATAATTATCCTAATTATTTTTTAGATTTTTTATATTTTCAAATGAGATGTTTATCCTCTAATTGATTATATTTATCCGCAGTTAGTTACGCGAATTCAAACATGGAGTTTTAATAAGTTGTACTTATGCATAATTTACTTGTAATCTTGAATTTTAAGTAATATGCATTAATATACAATACTTCATGCATAAAAAATAGTATTTAAGAGTTTTTGTCAAATGCTTTATAATATATATATATATATATATATATAGAATTGGGATCATGTAAGACTAAGAGTTTTTCGTGAGACCCGTAAGACCATTTCTCAACCCTTGGATTAGATATATAATTTGAATATTCATAATTACAAAATTGCCACGAGACTTCTCAAATAATCACAAAATTGTCACCGTGCAACTTTAGACCATTAGCTTATAAAGTTGATCAATGAACGTAAATTGATCTTACGGGTCTCATGAAAAACCTTTGGTTTCACGTGAACTCAATCATATATATATATATATATATATATATGGGGGTGTGTGTGTTGGACTATTGGGGGGGGTGTTTCACAAAGATGAGCGAGTTGTTTATGTAACGCTAGGGGTGTTTACCGTTCGGTTTAGTTAGTAGAGAAAATGTGAGCCGAATTGTATGACGCGAATAAATAGCTATCTAAATCATCGGTTGAATCGAACCAAAATAAGGCAGTTAACCATGGTTCGGTTCATGGTCATCCAAATTCATAAAAAGAATATCATTTATAATATAAAAATAATACCAAAAAATATCAGTTAAAATAATTTCGCAAGAACTAAATATAAATAAGCAAAATCTTTACAAATTTAAAAGCATCCATTTTTTTTTTATTAATATCGAATTTTTCATCATTTTATACCACCAAATTTTAATTATCCACCGTAATGATTGATCCTAAAACCTAAAAGCTTTTAATCAATTAACTATGGGTTAATATATAAATAAATATAAATATTTCATTTTAAATATTATATATATATATATATATTATATCCGTATCGATTTGAGTACCTACAGGTATCTAAACTTCAAGACTAAAATTGACTTAAAAAT